TGTACCTCAATACAGTCAAAGATAAAAAGATACAACTTAAAACTTCAAAATTAATTCGCATTTTCGAAAGTATTGTACTTAGCTAACTTTGACTGACCTTGTACAGATAATGCATTGCACATCTTAACATCAACTAAAGCTAAAGTTTTAACCAAAACCCAAGTTAGTTTGGACCGGAATTCAAAGTCATTAACTGTTTTGAGTGTATAGTAACAAAGAAATCAACAATCATGATAGCAAATGTACCTTTACCTATTTGTTCATTAAAACATCATCCTTTTACTTATTTGTGTGTTATAATATGCTTACTAATTTCAAGCTTTAGATGTAAAAGGTTCAATGTAACCAAAACATCCAACATAGTAAAAATAATATCAATAAGGTTAAAAAGTAAGAAATTACACACGAACTTTTATGGAAATTCATAAATGATGGTAAACATGAGAGGATAGAAGAAGCTTTATGAATTCAGGTAACTTAAGGTTGTAAGGCCATAAAAGTCTCCTGAAATTTAAAAAAAATGGTGAAACGTTGAATATAAACAAAAATGAATATTAGCGAGCAATTCAAAGACAAACTCAAACTCATCTCCTTACCTATATCGCGCTTGAAAGGGTTTGTTATCTATAACACCATAGCTACAACCTGAAAGAAAAATCAAACATTAAACTTTAACATTCTAGTTCTCTTTGACTTAAAAAAAACATATATAGTTTTATGTAGAACAGGGCTTTTTCTTTTCACAAACTTTTAAGAAAATAAGGACAAATTAATAATTAATAAATAGTTACCATCCAAAATCAATCTAGTAACAATGGAAAAAAGATTCATTCATTTACAATAAAAAAGGATTCGAATAAATCCAGACGCCAGTTCACAAAATTGGGTCATGAAAATTTCCTAAAAAACCATAAATATCAAGAAAAACTATTGTCATTGGACCTATGAAAAGAAAAATAGAGCACCATCTTAACAGTAAATGACAACGACTTCTTAACAGTAAATGACAACAGCATAAACAAAAAGGAATTTATATATGACAACCTCATGGTCGAGATGCCATGGAATTGAGTTCTTTTGCAACATGAAATTGACATAGCAGTATGAGTTGAGGAGGACAGATGGGCAATTACTTAAATCTTTCAAAAATTAAAGTCTCTTCCTACTTAAAACCTCCAAATCAACATCTGTAAAGCAAATAACAACTGAAATATGCCATATTATATCCAAAGATTATTTAAATCATATATGCCATATTATATCCAAAGATTATTTAAATCATGGTAACTTAAAAGGTAACTCACCATTAGAGACTTAACATTCATGTTTTAACCTTTGTTTTCATAGGCTTGACCAAAATCAACAATGTCAAATATGAAAATTTCAGTTCTCCTTTGTTGATCCCTCCTATTCAAAACACTAGTTTCCTAAAAACAAATTGATCAAATGTTTTCATGCTGAAAAACAGAAACAATATATGTGCAAGTGTTTTAAAACAGGGAGAGAGAGAGAGAGAGAGAGAGCGCTTTGTGGTGAATGGTGACCGAGATATAGAGATGTTAAGCTTTAAAGTAGAGCTAAAAGTAAACTTGTTCCATCTCACTCTTGCAGAATCAAACTCTGTACCATATGCCTACATAATCAAAATCTTGTTGAATAACAATTTCTAGTAAGATTATACCAAAGAGATATATTGAGATATAAAGCAAATATAAAATTAACAACACAAACTCGTAGCAACAATACTCTAAATTCCCTTCCCCATCCAACATACCTACCATAAACACACACATCTGTTACACAAACATCACATACAAACATCAGAAAAACGTAATGTATATTTCCACAGAAAAAAATAGAGCATCAATTACCTTAATTTTCATATTACCTTTTGAGATAATGTTTTGTAATTGTACCATTTCTACTGGTATAACTTTAAAATTACCAAATTGCCCCTTCTTAGCTTCCTGGGTTAGTTCAAAACGTTATACTCGTGAGAAAATTAGACGTAGGATATTTCTGCAGTTGTTATCATGTTCCCAAACAAATATCTCGAAAAACCCCAGAAAACAAAAAATATATTTTGATCGTGGGATCTGTTGCTGGAGTGAACCAGATCCGAAACAACTTCAATAATGGCATGAGGTGTCGAGAAAATCCAATATATATAAGGGTTTGAAGAAACAACGATATAATGGTGGTGATTGGTGGTTGTAAACGGTGGTGTTGTAGGCTTCCTTTAAGAGAGATAGAGAGATAAAGGTTGAGTGGTGGTGGCGGTTTTTAAAGAAATACGGTGGTGATATGGTGGCTTTTGGGTGGCGTTAGAGTGTCAGGCGGCGGTGAGGGTTCTAACTGGAAACAAAGAAGAGGGAGAAGCTAAGTGACGATGTCTATTGTGGAAGGTGGTGGTGGCAGTAGTGGGCAAAAGTGGGTGTATGATGATGGTGATGACAACAACTTGGGAGGGTTCCTTATCGTTTCCTATCTTGAAATCGCATACATGGTCGTAGATGATGATAAGGAGTGACAGAGAACTTGGTTGTGAGGGGTTAGGGTTTTAATGAGGGAGAGTATGAGTGGTGGTGGCTGGCATATTTTCGTATGGAGAGAGATGTTATATAAGATTCAACTGGTTTTGACCTATTCAATCGACTGAAATTGAGGGATTGTTAGGTTTAATTTTGACGGATTCATAAATGTTGGCTGGAGGTTAGGAATACTTGCTCAAATTTGAATCGTTCAACTCTTATCTAGACTTTTTCAATCGTAGACGGATAACATCTTATTTTTCTGAAATGCATAAAATTATTGTATGCAATGCTTTAAGGGTTGTACCTCTTAAAATTCAGCATTTGAGGCTAAATGATTATTAAGGTATAAAGATATATATATATATATATATATATATATATATATATATATATATATATATATATATATAGAGAGAGAGAGAGAGAGAGAAAGAGAGAAAGAGAAAGAGAGAGAGTTAGGTTCAAATGAAAACAAATATATTTTTTGAGAACTTGAGAACAAATCTTAGCCATTAATCATTTAAAGAAAAGGCATGCTCTATTTTTTATTAGTTAGGAGTATTTTTGTCAATTGTGTTTTTATATACAAAATCATATCAACGTTTCGTATATTTTCTCCTCTATCATCGTATTTTCTCGTCTATCGTTCTACTTTCTATATTTTAAGTTGATTGCTTCTGATTTTAAATTCCAAGATCCATATCATGGTCTTTCATATAATTGTCAGGGGCCACCACCTGGTCTTTCATACGTATCCCAAGGGCCACACCCCGGGTCTTCCATGCAAACATCACAAAGACAACTAGCATCCTACATAGTATAGTGAGAAAACTCACCTCAATCCACTGACAGATAATCCTATACACACGAGCTACTGGAACTGGAAATCCTCACACTATACATAACCAAAACCAAACCTTAATTAACAATTAAGGTCATAATCCATGATTAAAGGTCCAAATCATAATCTCTTTCTTACTAAGGGTAAAATACCATTTTATCATTCCCTACTTGGCCCAAACAAACCATGACCCAAACCCATAATGACCCACGGACCAAAATGGCTTAATATATCACCCTGGCGAGTACACCCCACATACCTCCCCGGTACGCCCGACGTACTGCCCTGCTGACCAGTCTCAACTTAATGCTCTTAATGCATTAAGACCAAGTCATCTAATTTCCATATCTAACTCTAAGAGGACGACTTAAGTCATAAAATTCTTGACTTTATGACTTTGCATGGCTTAATAGAGCCCAACACCAAACTTAGGTTTTCTAACTCGTCAAAATGTCCAATAACTTACATAAAAGTGCTTAATCCCTTAAGACTTTACATCCAAAGCTCATATCTAATTCCAATAGGTGTCTTAATCAATAAAGTCATCAACTTGATGCCTTTGCATGGCTCCAAGAAACCCAAAACCTAAATCTAGCCTACTAATTTCACCAAGAGATCAACAACTCATGCATGGTTGGTCTACAACCATCAAGATGCAAACTTTATGAACAAGGGACCTCAAAGACATAAAAAAGGACAACCCAAAACTTTTGGAGTAGCATTTACTCACAATAACCAACTCATGGGACCAAATATGCTCACATCATCACCCAAAACTAGATCTACATTAAAGAGCCATAAAGTTTGAAGCTTTATACCTCTAGAAGATAGATTAAAATGAACAAGGTCTGGATCTACAAGCTCCAAGCCAACCAACATTTCTCCAATGAGCTCCTTAATCTCCAACATGCACCAAGAACACTCCAAAACACTCAAAGAGCTCAAGAATCTCACAAATGGGGCTAGGGTTCGATATTACAGGTTGAGGGGGATTGAGGCTGAATATGGGAAGGGTTCCAAGAGATAATGATGCTTAAATAGGATCCAAACCCTAAAAGTTAGGTTTTTTCTTCTGACAACGTACGACCACTGTACTAGAGTGATCCCACGTCCTCAATACGCCCAACGTACTCCCATACTCTTCCAACTTAACTTCAAACATCCATAACTCTTTCGTTTCAACTCCATTTTCGACGTTCTTTATATCCACGGAAAGGTCTTAAAGAGCTCTACACTTTCATCTTGTTACTTTTGGCTTACCCTAAGTCGAACTTAAAACCGTAATCCTTGTAAGCAGTCTAACACCTAATTCTTCCGTAGTTCACCCTTGGTTCCAACATAATTCAAGGGCCTCGATCCTATTGCTAACCTTAACATCCTTCAATAAGGCCCCAAACCCTACTTCCTTAGAGCCCCAAGGCCTACACACAATCAAATTACGACCCACGATCCTGAATCACAGAACGGTCTGAAACAAGGTGTTACAGTTCCACCCCCAAAACATGTTGTAGATCAGAATCGTAAGGGGTTTAGTGCAACCACAAGTAGTCTTCTTTCACCCAATCGTGTTGTGGTAGGTTTGTTATCTGACGAGGAGACAGCTAGCCGATGAGTTTCTGATAAGAATGGAAGATGATGATAACCAGACCCCTCCATCTGTCTGTATGCTGGTGCATTTATGTAAATTACAAAACAATGTTAAATGCAAAAAGAGTGTTGACTTTGTCCCATAAATGGGAAACATGCACACAATGAGAAGTAGTTTCAATTTTCACATTTTTCTTCTTTATTGTACTCTTATATGCCTTATCTCAAATAAAGGAACCAAAAATATGTATTCTCGACCCATTTCTTGTTTATTTCCCTTCTACAAATACATATACATGCAATGGAGCACGTATAAAAAAAAAGAACCCTTTGTTATAATAAGGTCATCTGGATGCCATTAGACTTGCTACTTGTTAAAACTGATAAAGACGATTCTTGTTCGTAGTCAGGAATCGTGCTCTTACTGAACAGAGGAACGACACCAGCAGTACTACCTTATCCTCATGATATATATTATGATTGTTTGAGAATTTAGATAATTGAAGATTGCTAAAAATGAGAGAATTGTAGAGAGATAATGTGATATTTTAAGAGAGTATATTGTTTGAGCCTTGAGGTATAAAATATGGTTAGAAGGTAAGAGGTATTTAAAAAATATTTTTGAATTTTCTTTAAAAGATTAGAGTTCATATACCACCAAAAAATGACCAATGAGATTAAAAGTAGCTGTTGGCTCAGAGACTCAGCTGACGACCCAACGTGAACCTAAACTTAAGATCTGTACAGACCAATTAGGTAGTTGAAAGTGAACATCAACCTGAGATGGACAATTTGGATGGACTTTGACTGCTTGGTCCGTCCCATATCCGGTCTGGTTTGGGTCTATTTTTCGAGACCGGTCAAACCGGTTTAGGTGTTCGCATATTACGTGTCTTTACATTAGAGGCCCAACTTTATTCGGCCCAAGTACAATATAACCCATCTAACTCGGGTAGGGCTCCAAGCATCCAGGCCTCCAAAGTCCAACCTCCAAGCTTTCTCCCGATTTACATAATCTACCATCTTGCCGGACCACTCACCAGAAACAGCTACGTCAACTACGTCCTCATTTCGACTCATGTCATTTGCTCTGGTCGGCAACCGGTGAATTCTTCGCTGTCGTCGGTGTTCAATTTGTACGAAATTCCCACTATATACCATTTTAGTATCTTGGGTAATATTTTCAAGCATGGAAATTTGTGTTCGGGATTGAAATGTAAAACTTCAAAATTCAGATTGATTATTTCTTCAATTCTAATTGCAAATCATGGAATTGGAGTTACAAAACATACCCTAATTTGTCCCACAACCAAAAACACCATTCATCAAAGTGACGAGATAATCATTATAATGAATATCTCCCGTAAAATTAAATCCGGACATGTTTAATTTGTGTAGGGTTTTCTTTGAATCTTTCTTTTTTCTTGGAGAAGCATGTATCCTTCAAGAGGAAATAACGCGTATGGGCAGCAACAGCAACAGCAACAGCAACAGCAGCAATCCTTCTCTGGTCAATCTGCTTATGGTCAAAATGTAAGCTTTTCGATTGAAGGCTTATTTGTAATTATTTCCATATCAATCTTTCATTGGTGAAACATATAACTTTTGCCCTTAACCTCGATTTATGTTTCTGACTTCTTGATTTGATTTGGGTGAAGTTGGGTCCTGATAGCGGGGCCTCTCAGATGTCTATGGCTTCAAGGCATTCAGCCATGTTAAGTGGCCATCCATCATCTACTGGAACTCATTATGGTGGTCAATATGCTTCCGTGTATGGTGGTTCAGTGGCAATCAGCAGTGCCCTAGAGGTCAGTGAACGTTTAATTTGGGAATTAGTTTTCTTTTCATGGATTACAGATGATAAAGATTCTGATAAATCTCTATAGCATGTAAAGTGTAAACTTTGTAGTCACTTCTGCAGGCATCTGGTGCTAGTGCTAGTGGAGCATCTGGTGATTACTCTGTTCTTAGTCAAAAATATGGTCAAAAAGAGATTCCTGGTTATTCACCAGGGGATAGATCCCGGGCAGGTGTTTATTCTGCCCGAGATTTGCAAACTGAGCCTACTGCTCGGTTTAATGATTCAGTTGCTTATGGTCATCATCAAAATCAGGTTTTGTATTATACTTATATATGTTGGTGGTTATTTATTTGTTTTAAATTTTCCCTTGATGACATTTAAGGTTTCATCATGTCTAATTGTTTTTGGAATAGGGGGACATATACAGTCACTTGGATGCTGCATCATCACTACGGAAGGAATTGCTACAGACTCAGACACTTCAATCTTCTTCTATTGAAGGGAGTTCTAGGTAACCTACTTCATAAGATATATATGCAGATTTATGTCTTTTAGGTGCTGTTTCTTTTCGACTTTATGGACTTAATGGAGGCAAGACTTAATATCGACAAATATGTAATGGTGTTTCTTTTTGACTTTAATATAAACATATGGGCTTAATTGGTTAAATGAGTGTAGGGTGTCTTTATCCATTAGGACTTGGGACCTCATTTTTTATGCTGCTACCCTCTAACCAAACTCTCCTCTAATAATTTTATTTCTTTTAAAATCCATTCATCTTCTTAGTTCTTCCCAAGAATCGACCAATTCTCTCTCCAGGGTCCATTTCTCGTCTTCTTCCCTTTTATCACTTTTAAAAGCCTATTTATTTATTTATTTTTATTTCTTCTTCAAGAATCTTTTTTATTGCTATTAAAACCTATTTCTCTTGAAACCTATTCAAACCCACAATATTTTGGATTTAACTTTTGTATTTCAACTTATTTATGTTTAAGTTAAGTTATTATTCATTAATCATGTCAATTTATATAGTTTCTTATCGTGGTCAACTTATAATGATTTTCAAATAAACAGTCATCATCATTTGTAGACAGAAGGGTAAAATGGTAACTTTTTCATATTCAGACTGTTCCTTTCGGCCCAAAAAAGAAACGGTTTTCGTTTATAACAACATTTAGTCACATACTGACTTACTCCTAGTGACATCATTTATCCATTCAACACTTAATGAAGAAAAAAAAGAAACAACCCTTTAGTCTAATTGTATATAGTTTCTTGCTTACATTCTTTTTCTGAGATTTCATACCATCTATGTCCCTCTTATGTTCTACTTACCAATGAATGAGGAGCGAAATATGTATCATACTACTTCCTTACTCAGTCTACATGACAATTGACAACCACTTTCTAAGTCCCCAAACATTTCTGGCAGACAATCTGATTATCTATCAAGGGCAACTACCATTCGTCACACAGGTCAAGAACTTTCGTCTTATACTGGAAGAATGGATGACATGTCACATCATGGACAACAACATGCTCCATCAATCCTAGGAGCAGCTCCACCACGAGACATTGACAATCATGTGTATACTCATACATCTGCTTCTGCAACTTCTGGTTATGGAGTCAGCCTGCCACCTGGCAGGGACTACGGTTCTGCAAAGGGTCTTCATAGCACACCTCAAGCTGCCATGGTGGCACGTGGTGGTTATGCAAGGGTTGATGACAGGGCACAAGGACAAGGACAAGGACACAGTCGTGAAATTAACCGAAGAGCTGAAGATCTTCATAGGGATGTTTTAAGAGATAGAGAAAGAAAGAGGGAACGTGAACGTGTTTTGGAGAGGCGTGAAAAGGAGAGAGATAGGGAGAATAAACGTGTTATTGAAAAAAAGCGAGAGCGGACCCCACCTCGTATTGAAGCTTCTTCTTCTTTGCATAGGTGGATGATTGTTGCTTAAAATATAGTTCTCATAAGATCTTTTGCAGCCTTCATGACTAACTTGTGTTGTGTTAATCTTGTTATATATGGTGAAGGCGTCGTTCTCCTGCTAAAGAAAAACGAAGAGATTATATTTGCAAGGTAAAAAAAGGCACATATGAGCTCTTCATCTGTTGTCAAGTTTCCTTTTTCTTCTTGTTCTTGGGTTGTAGGTGGTGAATTGACTGAATTCTATATAGCAATTTTCCCCAATTCTGTTCAATTTGGAGTTTTGTACTGAAAAGTACTGTTTTTTTTTTCACCTATCACTCTCATATTGCTATACTTCAAATCCCTTTTCTCTCTTGATTGGCAATGCACTTCTTGGCATTCACTGTTTGTGCTTTTCTTTCAATATTTACCTTCTTACTCTTACCCCTTCTTTACTTTCAACTTATATTGCTAGCATCGGCTTTCTTCTTCATTCCCCCTGCCTTCCCTCCTCTGTTGCTATTCATTATTGTGGGCTTGAGTTTCATATGTTGGAGGTCATTTATGGAAACAACCTTTCTACACTTCATTCCATTCATTTTAGACTTGGGTTTTGTTGTTGTTCTTGGCATTCTTTTGTCATTCATCTGTCATCAGAACACCCTCTATTCATTTTGGTATTTCATGGTCTTCTATACGTGCTATAGGACACTTGTTGGCTTCTAGATCATTGGATTATACTGATTAAAGATCGTTTCGGGTGAATTTGTTGAAGATTGCTGTTGCGTTCTAATTATCTTCATCTTTGGGTTCATCTTTGTTGATTGATAAGGACTTGAGCTCTAATGAGATGTGTTTATCAATTGAAAATATCGAGACATATGGCTAAATTGTCAATGCCTTGAAAGCAGGAAGATAAGATGACACTCGAATGTTTGCTTTCTATCACTTGTTTGTATTTCTGATAGGTTCAAGTACCATTTTGCAGGTTAATTCATCCAGTTTAGTAGATTTTGAAAGAGACTATTTGTCTATTGACAAGCGGTATCCTAGGTTATTTACTTCTCCAGAATGTTCCAAGGTTAATTTTATTTTATACTTTTGCATCAACTACTCCTTGTTCTTTTTATTTGACACTAACTTGAGTTGTAAATTGCTACAGGTGATTGTTAATTGGTCAAGGGAGAATCTTAAAATTCCTTTGAATGTTCCTGTCAGGTATGGTTGCCATTGTTTCATGTTCTTTCCTTATGTTCCATTTTCTGGTTGAAAGTGTATTGGTTTGGATGTATTTTGTTATGCATTCTAAAAGAATAAAGATCACCCAAAGTTGTTAACAAATTGTTGTTTCTGTTAACACAGTTTTGAGCATGATTTTGTTAGAGATGATACAGAAACTCAGCAGAAAGAGGCATCCATTACAACTATGGTTGATGACCCTGTAAAATCAGAGCACACTCGATGGAATGCAAAGGTATATATTTTCTCTCTGAGATTTCTGACTTGAATTTGAGACTAAAATTTGTAATTTCTTTTGCTTATTTTGTTCAGATTGTATTAATGAGTGGACTCAGTCAAAATGCTTTAGAGGAGCTATCATCTGAAAGAGATTATGAAGATCGAATTCCCCATTTTTGCAACATGATTAGGTTTGCTTGTCTTAAAAGTGGGAATACTTTCAAGGCAATTGGAGGCTTGTGGGAAACCACAGATGGCAATGATCCTTCAGTTGACAAATCCATCCTTGTTCACACTGCTCTCAGGTTTGTTTTTGCATGATAAATATTACATTTTTACCCGTAAAGATTTTCTTGTTATCTAGTTTATTGATTTATACTATGTAGGTATGCCAAAGACCTCACAGGACTTGATTTGAAAAACTGCCAACATTGGAATCCTTTCCTTGAGGTAATCCATTATTATTTTGAAAGTTTATCTAATTAATTAGATTTTCTTGTTATCTAATCATTTGATTTTGTCCATTTTTGCAGATTCATTATGACCGAGTTAAAAAAGATGGAATATTTAGCCATAAGGAGGTCACAGTACTCTATGTTCCTGATTTATCAGATTGTTTACCTTCAGCAGATGCATGGAGGGATCAATGGCTTTCACACAAGAAAGCTATTGCTGAGAGAGAGCATCAATATGCTCTTAAAAGAGAGGTATACTATTACCTGTTTCATATTTTACATATATATATATATATATATATATATATATATATATATATATATATATATATATTTAAAAATAAATTAAAAATAAAGGACAGATGAAACTAACATATTGTTACAATCCATTGAAACTAAAAGTTGTTTCTTCCATCATATGTTTTGGTTTATATAGATAGCTCGAGGAAAGAAGGAAGGATTGAAAGGTAACTAACTTATTGATATTATCATACCTGAAAGTTATTTCTTTTTATAAAAATCTTGTAAGTTTACCTTTTATCACTCTATTGATTCTGCTTAGATAAGGAACCTGGGACACCCAAAGATCTGAAGAAGGATGCAAAATTAGAAAAAAAGAAAGTGTCTGAATCTGATGAGTCAGCATCAAAACTTAAAGAAATGGCAAAAGATAAAGTCAAAGAACCTGAAAATGAGGGAGTTCATATCAATGCAGTAGATATAGAGAAGAAAAATTTGGTTGAGACACCTGGCGAAGGGAATAACTCTGTAGAAAAGAAAACTGGTAGTGGAAAAAAGAAAATTATTAGAAAAGTTATAAAAAAGAAAGTTGTTAAAAAAGATAAAGCAGGAGACACAACCAAACAAACTGATACATTATTAGATTCCAAGAAAGCTGGAGAGACTACTACAGAGACAGAGACTGCAGGTCAAAGTCAAAGTCAAGGTCAAGTTCAAGATTCAACTGGTAATACTCCTGCTGTGAAAACTCTTACAAAAAAGAAAGTTATAAAAAAGGTTCCTGTAGTGAAATCTGTTAAGAAAGAAGATGTAGGGACACAATCTGAAGTGACACCTGTAAAAGAGAAAGAGAGTTCTGAAATCAAGCCAAAGAGTGCAGATACAGGAAGTCTTACAAGTGTGAAAAAAACTGTAAAAAAGAAAGTAATAAAAAGGGTTGTGAAAAAAAAGGTTGTTGCTAAAGATAAAGTGGCAGATAAACCAGAAGTAACTATTGAGGAGGAACAAAAGTGTTGTCCCTGAGCAGAAAAAAGATGAAATTGAAAACAAGGGTGAAAAGAAAGGTAACAAAACGAAGGGTATTATTGTCCAGTCTGACAATAATGAAAAGCTGGAAACCGAGGAGAAGGTAAAGGAGGGGAAAGTGAAAAAAGAGAAGGATGTTAAAGGTGAAACAAAGGGTAAAGAAGTAAAAGATAATAAAAAAGGATGAAGAGGTTCCTAGACACCCTGGGTTGTTTCTCCAAACAAAAGAGAGCAATAAAGTATGTGATTTTAACTTATGTATTAGTTCCAATTTGAAAATTAGGGCAAATTGCAATAAATAATGTATTTTACATTTTTACCCTTTCTGTGTCAGTTTCGTTCATCTTCACTTTCACTGGATTCCCTCATGGATTATGATGATAATGATATTGAAGAATCAACATTTGAGGTAAGTGGCTTTATACAATTGTTATTTATTTATTTTGTGAATGATTATCGTATTAAATTCTTTATAGTTAAAGTAAAAATAATTATTTGATTACACTCCTGATTTACATTTGCAGTTGTCGTTATTTGCCGAAACATTTTATGAAATGCTTCAGTATCAAATGGGTTCAAGGATTTTAGCATTTCTCCAGGTTTTGGTTAAAACAATAACAGTTAATGATGCACTATTTTTATTCCTATTTTCTTATTTATTTGTACTTTTTTTTTTGTATTACAGAAGTTGCGTATCAAATTTGTGGCTAAAAGAAACCAGAAAAAGAGGCAGTTGGAAGAAATTTCAGAGAAGGAAAAGTTGAAAACATCAAAGCGTTTGAAAAGTGATGATTCTGAAGTAAAAATCAAATCAGTTGAAAATGAAGTTTTAGAAAAAGTCGAAAAGAATATTCCAAAAGTGGAAAACATGGTTACTGAAAACATAGAAAACACAAAATCAGATGAAGATCTTGAAGAAGATGAAGATATGACAGATGCAAGTTCCAAAGATAACACAAGGAATGAGAAAACTGACATAGATTTGAAGTCCAAAAACATAGTAAAGAATGAAGAAGAGGAAGAGGAAAAGGTGGATTTAAAAAAGAAAGAAATAATCGACAAGGAACTTTTACAGGCATGTTTTTTTTTTTTTTTTTTTAAATAAAAAAATCTCATTGTTGTATGTTTTCTTGAATTAATTCTCATTCTTATTTTTTAAGATATGCATTTTAATTTGAAACAGGCTTTTAGGTTTTTTGACCGAAATCGAGTTGGTCACATTAGGGTAAGTTTGCTAATTAATAATATTTCAGTTCCATTATTGTCATGTTTAAAGGAAGTAAAAAATTAAATATTGAATTTGTTTGTCTTTAGGTTGAAGATATGCGGTTGATCATACATAATTTGGGGAATTTCTTGTCTCATAGAGAAGTCAAGGTAATATATACACAATCTATCATAATCCAATAGAAAGTTGTTTAAGAAAAAGGAGAATATTTATAAACAGAATCACAAAACGACCAAAATAGAACAAAATGATTTTTTTTTCTTTACTTTTTACGCAAATGTTTTATCCCTGACTTGTATTTATGTGTCAGGAACTTGTACAAAGTGCATTGCTAGAAAGCAACACTGGAAGGGACGATAGAATTCTGTATAATAAGCTGGTGAAAATGACTGACATTTGAAGTGATAGATTGATGCTTCTTTTTTGTATTTTTGTGACATTTTTGCATTCTTATGTAATTGGTAGACATGTAACATATACCCAATTGATATGCGAAACTTGTTAGTGTTATTGATCAAGTTAATAATACATAAGAGTTTTATATAATTATACACTTGGAGTTTGAGTTGCTTTAATTTGGTTTTGTTTGTTGTCTAGAATGAAGCCTCAAACTCCCTCTCTTGTGGTTGGGAGAGTTTCAGTCTTTGCTCACAAGGTGTTTGTTAAAATGCTGAGACTTTACAAATTTTTACTTCTACACAAGTTGACTAAATAAAGTCAAAGCTCATGATATGTCAGTAGTTTTGCAAAAAAGAACTTTTAAATGTGCAAAAGATCATATTGATTCCACGTCCCCAGTAAATGGAATCAAGATTGGTAGCAAACGCCTTTCCTTCAAGATAGAGCTTTCACAAGACACCCTATTTATTTTGTGCATGCCAATTGTTTGGTGGGATGTCACTTCTTTACATGTGTTTAGGCCTAATATAGGAAAGTAGATATGGGAACGGGAATACGGATGTTGGGAAGATTGAATATATATAATTTTTGAATATTGAAATAAGTAAATATTTCTTAGATTGTGAACAACGTAGGTGAAAGTGTGTTGAAAACTAATTTTTTACTATGAGTTGTTTTTAACTAAGAAAGATATTTATTCATGTAACTTTTAGTTGCAATTGTAGTTTTATATGTAAAATTGTGACTATATTTATATAAAAATTGTGAGTTGTTTGTTTTATAGACTTATACAAATTATTAGTTATATTTATATATTTATTTGAATTTTTAGTTTTTTTTATATAATTGTATTTATTAAAGATTCAATTATATTCATTAGAGATACACTTAATACCCTACATACCACATCATCAAACTTCTATATAAAGAACGTAAAAAATTGCATACCAAACATCCTACTTCTCTTATAAACATAAGCTTTTGTTGTTTGGCAAAAATGTCCATAAGTTCAATCATCTTTCTACCTCTAATGATAAATGAGTTGAAGTAACATGTAATGACCAAAGGAGAAAAAAATTGAGAAACACATCTCTAATAATCGAGCAACAAGACATGAGATTGACACAAAATAATATGAAACTGAAAAAAAGAAGAAATAGATGTGATGAGTTATATAGAATCTCAAATCGAGGAAAAGGAGAACCGGATAAAAGACCAAGAAAGCAAATTATAAAACCAAACAATGGATACGGAAGGCTGAAATATCTGTTTCAAGGAATTAGTGTGATATAAGGGTTAAAGGCGAAATAGATGAATGATAAAATAACCTGCGTTGAGGGATAGAAAAAAAAATCATGTATGTATTTTGTAGAATGATAGATTATAGATGATTAGTATTATTGTTAAGGCAAAAGACAAACATTTGTTTATAGTATGACCTTTTTTGATGATATCTAGAACATTCTATGATCATTGGACCCTCTCTTTATGATGAAATACATTTAGTGCTTTTGGGCCTTCCAGGTTGATATTGGTGCATTATTGGTGCTTTAACAATCATCATACCATTGAGTTCTCATGTTTAAAAGGGACATGAAGAGGGTTCATTAACTCATCGTATGTTTGACAACAACAATCTACATGATATATTGTGATAGCAATGTCGGAACAATCATCATGTCTTAAATATTTTAAGAGGCTTATGATATGGCTACACGATAAGCCAAAAATTTGCCATTTTAGACATGTACAAATTCTTTCATTGAAATAAAAAATGTTGTTTTTTTTTTGGAAGACTAGGACCTCAAATCTTGAATTTGAAATCTGGCAAACCGTATAGTTAGTACTTTTATTTTCTCTTATGCAACCTTCTTATCCATCCATATGTTAAGTCCAGTTGTCTCTTCTGCTACATAAAATGTCAAATAGCAATGTTAAGTTCAATGTATATTAAGGGGAAGAACTAACTAAACATTTTCAATGCATGTTACATATATATGCTTTGTTCCGACTTTGAAAATACCACTGTTGCATTGTCGTGCAGAAGAACTTTACGAACATCATTATCGACATCTCTGGATAACACGTTGACGAACTTCATATTGTTTGATTTCATAAGATTCTAACTAAGACCATAGAAATATTCCCACATTTTTTTGGACATGCACCTTGTAACTATTCCCATTTTTTTCTTTCATTATGTAGCATTTCAAAATAATTGTCAAAACCTGTAACTTTCCAGAACAACATTTTTGTGTTCATAATTTTCATGTATTGAGCTTGCTCGTTTGATAAAAGATGATTGTCAAAACCTGTAACTTTCCAGAACAACATTTTTGTGTTCATAATTTTCATGTATTGAGCTTGCACGTTTGATAAAAGATGATGACAAACACCATGATGCGGATTCAGGAATATAGTTACATAGGACACGATAATCGCTTGCCCCTATCAGACGATAAGGTTAAATGTTCCGAGTCATTGATGCAATCATGTAGCTTCTTTTAGGAACATGCTTACTTATATGTACACTTACTCTTGCATATCCCATATACAACATGCAAAATTTGGTTGTTACCGTACATCACAACCACCAATAACATGGTGCCTTTGAAGCAACCTATTAGGTGGGCGACGTCTATCCCAAGTGCACGCCTACAACATCTGAGGAGGACATGTAATTACGAAACTATTAATATAAATTAACAAAGGATGTGGAAATCTAATATATAAACATATAAAATCATAAATATAAATATTACATGGCAACCATCGAGAGGAATGTGACAACCCGAAACTTTCCCGTTTCCGTTTCGTGATTTCCGTTAATAAAATTTCGAATTCATTAACTTTTCCGTCGAACTTTTTGGTTTAGAAAATAATCTAGTTATATTTAATTAAATTATTTACGAGTCGGAACCAAAAATCGCGCGGAAACCAAAAAATCTTGGAAAAAAAAATCAACGTTTCCGGTCTAAGTGAGGATTACGACCGTAAACTCGTTTACGACCGTAAACCTGTTTACGGTCAGTGAAGAGTGGACCCCCCACAACACCCCTATAAATACGATGCCTCCACCTTCATTAGAACATTTATGGCCAAAAACTCTCTCTTTCTCTCTCTAAGAACCTTAACCGTAAACACTCAAAACGCCTTCAAACTTCGGAAATCATCGAGAAACCACGTTTGGGTCGCTTTGGAACGTCTCAGGGCACTCATCTCTTCGAAATCAGCAATCAGAACCATTATTCTTGAGTTTACGGTCCACCTTCAAGAACCGTAAACCCTGTTCTTGAGTTTACGGTCCAACCTTCAGAAACCGTAAACTCTGTTCTTGAGTTTACGGTCCAAGCCTTCAAGAACCGTAAACTCCTCTTCGACCGTAAACACCTTTTAAGTGGTGTTTTTGACTGAAAACTCACCCTCTTTGATTCGATCAAGTCCCGGTAACATTCCTCAACCGAATACAAGTGTTCTTATGACACTTTATTTATCGAAATCGCTAATTTAGATACATATATGTATTTATTTGATAATAGGATTTCGTTAAGTGTCGTGCAACAACTCGAGGATCTTCATTTTCAGTCAACGATTTCACGCAACAACTGTGAGTTCATACCCCTACATTTTCCGTATTTTTAATGTTTTCAGGGGGGGAATACAAGCTAAACATAAATGTTTTCAAAACTCATGCAATTCTCATACTTTAACCCTTTTGTACTGTGTTGAGCATAAGGGACGTTTTCACTAAAATTGCATAGTTTTTCCGGATTCGATATTCACTACATTATACATGCAAACTATAATCGGTATAGTTTGGGATTTTTCTAAAACATATCAAGTATAGAAACTTTCACTACTAAACATATGTGCTGAAACAGAAACCGTTTACAGTTTACATCACTACTTTATCATGGTATTCATAACTGAAATTATCACTATATACGGTATACATACGGATTTTCACTACGGTAGAACGCTACTACACTACATGTAAACTAGATTGTACGATACTGTGAGGCGCTACTTCACTACTGTACCCTTAGGTGTACAGGGATAAATCCTACCACTGTATAACCAGAGTCTCCTGGAGGGAGAGCGTGAGATTTGTGAATAGATCTATTCGGGACTGACAATCCCACATCTGGACTGCTAGCTACAGTTAGGCGGGCACGCCTGAGATGTACAAATGTCATTTAACTCGACGCCTGAAGAACGTTGGAAAGGTCACTAGTCACATCAAGCATGGTTATACGACTCACATTATGTATAAATCACCTTTAGTTTACAACTTAACACTCTTCAACAGTTTTATTTTTACTAAATAGAACTGATACACACTACGTATACTGGCTAAAGCCAGGGTTTTCAAACAGAACCGATTATGCAATGGTTTCGCATACAAAATACTTACACTTCATGATTAGTTTTAGCTAGTCACATGAGGTAGTATTTTCGCATATCACTACAGTTTTCAGTAGCGAACATTCATGGTTTTATACGAAATCGATAACGCTACCTTTTCACTAAAGAAAATATCGGATTTTCTTGGAAACATACAGAAATTCATGGTTTATTACAGAACTGGTAACACTACATTCTCGCTAAGGAAAACATCGGATTTTCTTGGAAACATACATAAATTCATGGTTTATTACAGAACTGGTAACACTACATTCTCGCTAAGGAAAACATCGGATATTCTTGAAACTATACAAGTTTTTTTCCGAACTCATCAACGATTTTCACTACAAACTACCGCTTATGAACTCACCAGCCTTATGCTGATACTCTTTTAAACTGCTTGTATTCTCAGGAAATCAGTAGACAGGTGCCTGCTGGGTTTTTGAAGAGTTGAAGCAATAAGAGTTTAATGTTATATTCATACAAGTTATATGATGTAATTCAAACAAGTTTCAGAATTGATGTAAACATTTTTATTTTAGTATGCACTGTACTAGTTGTGTTGCTATGATTGCTATTATTCATTGGTTGTGATGCTACACATGACGTCCTCCGCCCCGGAACGTTTCCGCCATCGGTTTCGGGGTGTGACAGATTGGTATCAGAGCCCTTGTTTATAGCGAACTAGTATACCGAACCTTACGTGGTATACAA